ACACCTTATATTCACAGCATGATTATCTTTATTAATAAAAACAAAATCCCTAAGCCAGACATGGTGGTACACTCCTTTAATATCATCACTTGGGAGTTAGAGACTGGAGGACATCTGTGAACTTGAGACTAGCCCTGTTCAGCCACGACTACAGAGACCCTGTCTCAAAAAAACAACTACAACAACAACAACAACAAAATTCTAAGCCAGGCAGTGGTGGTGTCTTTTTATTCCCAGCACTCAGGAGGCAGAGGCAGGCAGACCTCTGTGAGTCTGAGGCCAACCTGGTCTGCAGAGTGAGTTCCAGGACAGCTAAGTTTACACTAAGAAACCCTGTTTCCAAACATCCTTTAAAAAAGAGGGAGGGAGGGAGGGAGGGAGGGAGGGAGGGAGGAAGAAAAGAAAGAATGAATTCCTACCAGCTGACTTATCTACTAAATCAGTTTCCAGGCTTTCAGTTTTCCTTTTTAAGCAGAGTTGAAGTTTAAGGGATTTTAACAGTTTTAAGTATGTTTGGGGAGCACCCAGAAAGCAAAGTACCTGCGTGCAATACTGCGGTCACAGGAGAAAATGGCCCATTTCTCCCTCCTAGCAGATATTATTGAGGGAGGAGCACACACGGCATCCAGAAGACAACTTTAAGAAATCAATTCTCGGGCTGGAGAGGTGGCTCAGAGGATAAGAGCACTGGCTGCTCTTCCAGAGGTCCTGAGTTCAATTCCCAGCAACCACATAGTAGCTCACAACCATCTGTAATGAGACCTGGTGCCTTCCATGCCAGCAGTACATTGTATGCTTAATAAATAATTAAATATTTTTAAAAAAAATCAATTCTCTTTCCACTCCATGTTGGTCCCAGGAATCAAACTCTAGTCCTCAGGCTGTGGTCGAATCATTTCACTAGCCCAATATTATTATTTGTCTCGTTCTTTTCATCAGCTCACTGTCCGTCTCATTAACCTCGGGTTTTTGCTTATTCTCTTAATGAAGTAGGGGGTGGGATCTCACTCTAGAGGCCTAAATGGCCTCTGCCTAATATTCTCCAGCTGTACCCTCTTAAATACTAGAATTACAGCCCCACATTGACCTTGTTTTTATTCCCAAGGTTAAATACTCTCTTAAATTCTTTGTGAGAAAAAAAGCAGAACATTTAATCGCCACTCTAATCCCTCCTACACACTCAACATCTGCAATTGCAGGCCTTTCACCACCAGATGGTGTCCTGCGTGAATTTAACCAGCCTTAACACAGGACCACTTGTTAAGCTGCAAAGCTGGACATAGTGATGGCAGAGGAATCCAAGGTTATCCTTCATTACAGAATGTGTTCCAGACCAGCCTGAAGTACCTGAGACCCTCTATCTAAAACAAAGGAGGAAAATCAAATCAAGTAGAAAAGTTGATTCACTTGCTCTTTGGGAAAGTATCATAAGTGATCTGAGAGTGTTTGAGCATCCTTAAGCATTAAACAATGTAAAAGACACACTGTCATACCAGGTATCTACATACAGGTCTCATACAGTATCTTCTTCAAAACTCTTGGGATGTGCTAAACTGGACTGACCCTAATCTGGGTTTTGCATTTGCTGGATGAAAAAGATGCCCATAACAGGAAAATGGTACTATCAATACTAACAGGCCTGCTTAAAAAGTGGAGTCACTAGCCGGGCGGTGGTGGCACACGCCTTTAATCCCAGCACTCGGGAGGCAGAGGCAGGTGGATCTCTATGAGTTCGAGACCAGCCTGGTCTAAAAGAGCTAGTTCCAGGACAGGCTCCAAAACCACAGAGAAACCCTGTCTCGAAAAACAAAAACAAAAAAAGTGGAGTCACTATTCAGAGGAACTCCTAATTCAGTCTTAACAGTAAGCAAGAATACTCACCACTCCAGTATACTATTTGTCCTTAACACAAATACTTCAAACATCTAACGCTGGCATCAATAACAAAGATATATAGTTTGTTTCGGTTCTTCAAGATAGGGTTTTTCTGTGTAGCTCTGGCTAGTCTACAATGTACTCTATAGACCATGATAGCTTTGAACTCCTCTGCCTCCGGGAGTGCTATGAGTAAAGGCAGTTTTGCATGCTTTTTTTTTTGTTTTGGTTTGTTTGTTATCTTGGTTGTTTTGTTTTGATTTTGAGGTAAGGTCTCACTACGTGTTGATCTGGCTGACTTGAAAGACAGGAAACTGGCCTGTGTCTGCCTCAAACAATAATTTCTTTTTTCCAAGATGGTTTCTTTGTGTATGGCTCTACTGAACTCCATCTGTAAACCAGGCCTTGAACTTATAGAGATGTGCCTGTCTCTGCCTCCCACTGCTGGAATGAAAGGTGTTACCACCAAAGTGTTCCACTCTAAAACTCAGTGATCTGGCCAGTGGTGGTGACGTAAGCCTTTAATCCCAGCACTGGGGAGGCAGAGGCAGGCACATCAACGCGTTGAGTTCGAGGTCAGCCTGGTCTACAGAGCAAGTTCCAGGACAGTCAGAGCTGTTACACAGAGAAACACTGTCTTGAAAAACAGAACAAAAACAAAATGATCTGATTCCATCTTCCACTGCACAAAACCAACTTAAAAAGCCAACTTCTCCAGGTGGCAGAGAAAGGGAAATCTCTGTGAGTTCCAGGCTAGCCTTAGTCTACAGAGCTAGTTGCAGGACAGCCAGGACCATTCAACAGAGAAACCCTGTCTCAAAAAAAGAAAAAAAAAAAAAGGAAGAAGGAAGGCAGGTAGGCAGGCCGGCCAATTTCTCAGGCTATGAAACTGGGTTAGCTGGCCAAATAGTTAGGTTCCACAAGTCTGGCAACTTAACTTCCTTCCACCTCAGTAACGCATGAAAGGAGAAAATTGACTCCTACAGTTGTACTCTGGCCAGCATGGGAGAATAACCCAGCTGCTAAAAAGTGAAGCCTGTCACAAAAAGAGAGGAAGAAAAAAAAAAGTAGGGGATTGTAGCGCACACCTTAATCCCAGCACTTGGGAGGTGGAGGCAGAGTCAAACTGATCACTGAGTTCCAAGGCTACACAGTGAGGCCCTGAAGTCTTTAAAAAAAAAAAAAAAGCGCTCAAGTTCAGATCTGGTACTGTAGATATATATACACATATACAGAAGGTTGGTACTAACAGGAGACAGCATGTGAGAGAACTGTATGGAGGAGTTCCAATATTGTACCATAGCATGCACATTTCAAATACACACAAATCAAAGTATTTTAAAAGCCAACCTGGGGGCTGGAGAGATAGCTCAGAGGTTAAGAGCACAAGCTGTTCTTCCAGAGGTCCTGAGTTCAATTCCCAGCAACCACATGGTGGCTCACAACCATCTGTAATGAGACCTGGTGCCCTCCATGCCAGAGCACTGTATAATAAATAAATCTTTTAAAAAAAGCCAACCTGGCCAGGCATGGTGGGGCGCCCTTTAGTTATGGCACAGAGGCAGGGGCAGGCAAATCTGCTTTCAATACAGAGCGAGTTGCAGGACAGACAAGGTTATACAGAATTCCTGTCTCAAAACAAACACACACACACACACACACACACACACACACACAGGGCCAATTCCTCCTTCAGAGGTCTGCCTGTGCAAATCAGCCGCGGGAGAGAAAACTTCCTCCACAAACTGTTGTAGCACATCACCCACCCATACCTGCGCAAAAGGAGCACTTCTTCCCAAATTTCTCATTTTCTCTGATTCCAAGGCTACACACACAATTCAATACAAGTGCCTGCACTGCTCACAGCCATAGTGATCACACACCGGAGGCAAATTCTCCCTGTGGTCGTGACACCCCAAGTCCCGGAACACATGTGTTCAATTCCTTTCAGGTAACTTTAAGTCTGGTGTAAGGTTTACTTCACAACCAACAGACTAAGTTCAAACGTTCAGGATGCATTTTCTTTGGGGCCGTTCCCTCCTCTGGCTCCTTAAGTCTAACTTTTCTACTAAAGCAGTTAGTGGCCTTAAAGAAGTCCTGACTTTCCTAGCAAGCATAAAGTCCGAGTTCAATTCCCTAGATTACAGAGCCTATAAAGAGGGGATACAGTGGAGTTACCAACCATAAAATCTGACCACAAATCTATGGGTCCAATAAAGATATTAATAAAATTAATCCCAATAAAGATATTAACAAAAACAAAGTGGATGCACTGGACGGACACTCCCCATCTGCTTGGGCGTGCCGGAGGAGGTGGGCCCATCCCCTCCGTTCACTTTCTACAGTCCACACATAACTTCGGTAGACAAGCTTTTAAACTTCTGACAAACAACCTATTCTGTAAAATAAAAATCGCCGTCTCCAATTTTTTTCTTCAAGACAATCTTATGGCTTGCAGTGTAGACTTCCCTTGTCTACACAACAGAAGCGAATTAAGACTTAATGTAAACTTCAGTTACATAAACTTTAGTTACATAAACCCACAGCAAATCTAACAGCAAACGGGTTTTGGAAGTAAACTGAGCCAGGTAGGTTACCTAGCAAACTTTCCAACAGTCCCAGGATGAGCTTGGAAACCTCCTCGGCCCTCCCACTCGGTCTCCCAGGCAGCCCGGGCTGGCGATCGCGCCTGCCGTAGTCGTCTTGCTCTTCGCACGCCACCTGACCCCTTGCTTGCAGAATGCAGTGAAGATGCCAGAACAGGGTGACACCAGCCTCACCGACTCCTGTGGCTCTGAGGCGGAGGTCGCGCGCGCAGGGCCCAACCGCCACTGCAGATCAAGGGAGCCAGAGGAGCCGGGGTAGGCCTGATCCGGCACGGCAGACGCTTTCCACGGACCCAGTGTAGCCGCGGCCCACACCAGGAACAACTTAGGCGTCAGGCCTAGACTCTAGCCCAAAGCTTGGACTGGAACCCGCTCGGCCCCGGCGAGCAGTCCCGGCCCCGCCGTCGGCCCGGCTTTCCTGCGCCCGTGTCCCAGGCGCCGAGCAGGTCACCCTATCCGCACCTCCCCTCTCCCGCCACGGCCAATCCTGCTCTCCATCCCGCTCCGCAGGTCCCTCACCGAGGACGCGGCGGCCGGCGAGGGGGGGGGGGGGAGTAGGGCGGCCGGTCTCCTCGCGGCTCTGGCACAGCTGCGCTGGCGGCGGTGGCGGCGTCTCCTCGCGCTTTCCTTTCTCTCCTTTTCTCCAACAACAAACAGGAAGTGCGTCATGCGGTGGCGGCGCAGCGACGTCAACTTCCGCCCGGACCTGAAGCCATGCGTGTGCGCCTGCATTTGCCCGCTCCGGTTTACGTCGAATTCTACAGCGCCAGTTTAGCTTTTGAAAGATTCCGCCAGCATTGGACGGTGAAACTCAGGAGTCTCTCTACAGGCGAAGGAGGGACTGTAGAGCGGGAAGAGCCATCCTGCGCTACCTCAGGGCCTGGAAGCCTCCAAAGCCGGTGGCGACTTGTGGGCGACCCTGAGTTACTGACCCGGGGGCCTGCCGTTGCACTGAAGCGGACAGGAAGGAGATAGCGATCAAAGATAGCTTAACGTGACTCACGCGGCTTGTGGACGGGGAGAGTTGTAGTCCCGAGGTTTGGAAGAAAGGCTAGCACACTCGAAGTTCGGTTAGTCCGACCAGCAGTCTCAATCCTTCTTAGTGCCCCTGTGCCCAGCCTTAATCACTTGGGGGCATAAGAGGCCCCATCATTACCAGCGTGGAATGCCGACTAGAATCCAGAGTCTGATTTTCAACCACCTTCTCACCACACAGAATTTTCCCTTTGGTTTTTTTGTTTGTTTGTTTGTTTTATTTTGTTGTTTTTCGAGAATGAATTTTCTTCCCCGGTGACATTGACCCCAGGGCCCCGCACGTGCTAAGCAAGACTTTTACCCGTGAGCCCTATCCCCACCCTCTTTTTATTTTAAGACAGGGTGCCACGCCCCTGAATTTCCACCTCTGACCTTGAACTTTCCATCTCAAGACTGGAAAGTAACTGGGCTCTCTGGTTTTGTATTACTAACCTTCACCAAGCCCAGTTGACCTGTGCTAGACAGAAGGCATTTTGCACATTTCTGCTACTTAGTAATGAGAAACAAGTAGTTCCAATGTGGCTTCCCCAAGCCAGGCTCATTAGCCTAAAGACTCAACCTCCAAAACTAAACTGACCTTAGGGACCAAGGTCAACAACACACTCAGTCTGCCTTCACTCTAACGAGAGTTCTGAATATTGATGTTCATATAGTGCCTTCATGAGCACAATATTGTTTTACTTTTGTTAATGTGCCTACTGCCCATCTATTTAATAGGCTTGTTAGATTAAAAATTACAACAGGTTGCAGTCACTGGGCTAAAATTCAAAATGGAATCACTGAGATCAAAAGTCAAACATAACTAAACTGTTACCTGTTCATGCTGGCTACTATTATATCAATTTGTCACGAGCTAGAGTCATCAGAAAGAGAGAGACACACTGAGAAAATGATCTGCTGTAGGCAACCTGTAGGACACTTTTTTAAAAATAATTTATGCCTGGCGATGGTGGCGCATGCCTTTAATCCCAGCACTCGGGAGGCAGAGGCAGGCAGATCTCTTTGAGTTCAAGACCAGCCTGGTCTACAGACAGGCTCCAAAGCCCCAGCGAAACCCTCTCTCCAAAAAAAACCAAAAAAATAAAAATAAATAAAATAAAAATCCCAGCACTTGGGAGGCAGAGGCAGGTGGATCTCTGTGAGTTCAAGACCAGCCTGGTCTACAGAGCTAGTTCCAGGACAGGCTCCAAAGCCACAGAGAAACCCTGTCTCCAAAAACCAAAAAACAAAAAAAATAAAAATAATTAATCTTTGTTTTATGAACATCAATTGGTGTTTTGCCCGCATGTATGTCTGCTCTGGAACTGGAATTACATACAGTTGTAAGTGGCTTTGTGTGTGTGTGTGTGTGTGTGTGTGTGCTGGGAATTGAATGTGGGTCCTCTGGAAGAGCAGCCAATGTTCTTAACTGCTGAGTCATCTCCAGTCCCAGGCATTTTCTTTTTTTTTTTCTGTTTCTCTGTGCCTGTCCTGGAACTAGCTCTTGTAGACCAGGCTGGCCTCGAACTCACAGAGATCCGCCTGCCTCTGCCTCCCGAGTGCTGGGATTAAAGGCATGCGCCACCATCGCCCGACAGCCATTTTCTTTTCTTAATTACTGATTGATGTGAGAGGGCCCAGCCCTTTGTGGATAGGGCCACCCTACTCACTTGGTTCAGTGTTCCATAAGAAAGGACCCTGAGCAAACCAGGACACAGCACTCCTCCGTGACCTCTGCATCAGCTCCTGCCTCCAGTTAAACAGTGCTGTGGTGTAAACCTAATAAACCCTTCCCCACCCTCACCCCCGCCCCAAATTGCTTTGTCAGTGTGTTTCATCACAACAATAGTAGCCCTAACTAAGAAACTGCCCTTCCTAGAAAACAATTTCCCCAACTGGCCAGTTTCAATTGACATAATAATAAAGTTACCTCTGTCTTTTAACCTCGCTTTTACCCATAAATTGTCTTTCTATTGCTGGGTCTCCTAGGCTCATTGTGCTAGGAAAATCACTTTGAAAGGCTGTAGCTTCGTTTTTTTTTTTTTAATAAATCCTTCTTGCTAGTTTTTTTTTAAATATTTATTTATTTATTTATTATGTATACAATACTCTTTCTGTGTGTATGCCTGAAGGCCAGAAGAGGGCACCAGGCCTCATTACAGCCCCAATGTAGCTTCGTTTTCTACTCCTTCTTTGGCCTTTCCTTGATCATCCCATCAAACACTACCAAAGGAAGCCTTGCCTGAATTGAATTGTAAACAAAGTCAGTTAAGATTGTGCTTGGGGGGCTGGAGAGATGGCTCAGAGGTTAAAAGCACTGCCTGCTCTTCCAAAGGTCCTGAGTTCAATTCCCAGCAACCACATAGTGGCTCACAACCATCTGTAATGAGGTCTAGTGCCCTCTTCTGGCCTGCACCACAGACAGAATATTGTATACATAATAAATAGATAGATAGATAGATAGATAGATAGATAGATAGATAGATAGATAGATAGATAGATAGATAGACTGTGCTTGGGTGTGATGGCACACACCTATAATCCCAGCATTCTGGAGCTATGTGAATCAGTCTCTGTCTCAAAAATAATAAGATTGTTAAGCCATGCTGTAGTTGAGATACTGGGTGATAAGGATACTGAAGCAGGAGGATTACCACAGGGTCAACCTGGACTGCAGAGCTGAGACCCTGTCTCAAAAATAAGTGTAGCCAGTAATGGTAGCCCATACCTTTAATCCCAACACTCAAGAGGCAAAAGAGGGTAAATCTCTGAGTTTGAGGCCAGCGAGCTACGTGGAGAGACCATGTCAAAAAAAAAAAAAAAAAGTAAACTATTGTAATGTGTACCCGTGAGTGAGCATTTGGAAGGCTGAGGCAGGAGAATCAGGAATTCAAAGGAAACTTGTGATGTCACGAAAAGAAAGATCATTGTAATTTTGCCCTCTGACAGGTCAATTCTAGAGACCCCAGAGGGTAAAAGAAGCTTTTTTTGTGTTGTTCTTCTCCAATAACATGTTCTCATTTTAGACAACTGAAACATCCCATTGTTGGTACTAATGTTTCTTCCGCAGTACCTTGCTCACAGAGGGGTGTGATTTAGTAGACAGGGTAGATGCCCCGTTGGGGAAGGAAAAATTCAAAGACCCTCGTACCCCTTCTTCAGCAGTCAGGCTTGGAGCAAGAGATACCCAAGGAAATAAAATTACCCCAGGACCTATGCTAGAGGGAAGCAAAGACAAGAAGAACTTGCCTCCCCAGATGGTATTATCCCACAGAGTAGCACACGTGTAGTGAGCTCCTGGCTTCAGGTCATCTCTTCTATAGCATTGTAACACTGCACAGAATAGGACAAGAGAAACCAATTGGAGTCTTTCCAATTTGTCCAAGTTGCAAATAAATGCATTCATTATCCTGAATCGGGTTTAGTACCACACATCTGGCCTTCTAGCTCTTGGGATGTAGAGGCAGAATAATATTCAAGCTTATTATCGCTTATATAGTGAGTTCCAGACCAGGCTGGGACACGAGTCCTGTCTCAAAAACTATATAACTACACACACACACACACACACACACACACACACACACCCTTCTGAATATATATCCACAGATATATATGAATGAAAAAGGAAAGTTTGATTAGAGTTTAAAAAGATAGACCTGGGGCTGGAGAGATGGCTCAGTGGTTAAGAGCACTGCCTGCTCTTCCAAAGGTCCTGAGTTCAATTTCCAGCAACCACATGGTGGCTCACAACCATCTGTAATGAGGCCTGGTGCCCTTTTCTGGCCTACATACAGACAGAATATTGAATACATAATAAATATTTTAAAAAAAAAGATAGACCTGAGTGAGTCTGGAGAAATGACTCAGTAGTTAAGAGCATTTGTTGTTCTTTTGTTTTGTTTCTGAGATAGGGTTTCTCTGTAGCTGGAGCCCATCCTGGAGCTCCTGTAGACTAGGCTGGCCTGGAACTCACAGAGATCCACCCGTATCTGCCTCCCGAGTGCTGAGGTTAAGGCATTTACCACCACAGCCCGGCACATTTGTTGTTCTTGTAGAGCACCTGGGTTCAATTCTCAGCACCCACAATGACAGGATCCCACAGGCACCAGACAGGCACTTAGTGCATACTCATATGTATGAACAAAACATTCATAAAGTAAAAATTTTTTTTATTTACAAGAGAAATCCCAGAGCAAGCAAGCTGTAAAAACTTAGCTGCTGCTCCCAGGCAGAGAGAACGGAGAGGAGAAGGTTGGGAAAATCATTGCCATTTGAGCAGGCATAGGGTCAGACATATCGCCAACAGACAGTCGTGTGGCAGGGAGGTAAACTTTAGAGAAAGAGTACATTGTCGGGCACTGTGGCACAAGCCTTTATTCCCAGTACTCAGGAGGCAGATCTCTGTGAGTTCAAGGCTAGCCTGATCTACAGAGAGTTCCAGAGACAAAGCTAGACAGAGACAGGGAAAACATGCTTAGAAGAGGGATGGCTGGGGATGAAAAAGGAGTGTTTGAGTTACATGGTTCTCAGTTATTCTGACTGAGAACCTCAGTCAGAGTCCTCAGTCAGGGAGTGGCTGACTTACAACCTTATATGTTTGTTGTCTGTTATCTGCCAAATTTCTTGGGGTTTTTTGTTTTTTAGGGTTCTTTTTGTTGTTGTTGTTGCTGTTGGTGGTGGTGGTTTGGTTTGGTTTGGTTTGG